TAAAAAGTTTGCAAAGCATCTATTAGAGGCCCCCGGAGCCTTTTCTTTCTAATTGCCATGTTTGACAATGCGATCGCACAGGGGACTAGCGGAAAGACAGATAATGGACCCACTTTAATTGCTTCCCAGTTCCATGAGTCATAACACTTCTGAGATGGCAAAGGGGAAGTGCAGCAGTTTGACTGAAGGAGATTTCTGGCTTTTAAGAAAGCTCTGGAGGAACAAATGCTAAACTCAAAGCCAAAGTCTTGGAGAGACTGAAGGTTCCAGGTACGAGATTTTCTTTCATCTTTTACTTTTGACTGGAACTATCCAGTTAAGTTTTAATCGTGTTCTGGGAGGGGTAGGAATGGTTTCTCATCTAAGAGATGAGGGAATGGATGTCACGCCAAGACCCTTTTTCTCAGGAAAGGGCACTAAGATTGAGTCCTGCAGATGGAAGAGTCCAGCAGGGTCCAGTGTCGATCAGTCGGCAGTGGTGGTGGGAGCACACTGCATGAGCACACATGCAGAGCTCTGGATGGATTTATCTGGCAGGTCGAGGGAAGGACACTGTAGTTCCCCATTGGGAGCTGGGTTTGGCATGTATTTCTGGGAACGGATACACAGTGGACCTTCTGACCTCCCTCCTCCCTGTGACACTAGTGAATATCTCCTGTACTTCTGGCCTAAGGGCAGGGTGTGTTTTTCCTGGAAAAGGAAGGAGCCCATAGCCAGGGCTGAACCCAGTGCTCCAGGAAAACAAACTATGGTGTTTGCATGTGCCAGCCAGACTGTGGAGTAGCTGGGCTCTTTCTGCCCAGGTCCTCTGGATTCTTCTTGTCTTCTGCCCTCCACCAGATGCTCAGGGCAGCACCCACTGGGACCCCTCAGTACCATGGATACTTGGTGCCTCCCCAGAGGAGCAGAAGCCCATGACACTCACACTACTCCTGGAAGTTTTTAAGCTGTGTTTGTGTGATCTTCACGCTCTGAAGGTCTTCATCCTTTCCCTCTGCTTTGTGCCAAGGGAAACAAGCTGCAGCATGGTGTATAGGGCAGTGTACAGTCTCTGGGCACTGCCAGGATATGTCCCAGCCTCTCTAGGGATGGACTGGTTTGCCTGGGTGCTGCTTTCACCTCAGCTGGACAAGCCCTGCGACATGGTGGTTGTGAAGGAGGGGAAGAGGATGGAAAGGAGGAGGTCATCAAAAAGGGGGAGGAACAAGGGGAGGTGGACAGGACAACAGAAGAGGGTGGAGTGCCTGGTTTTGTACCAGGGTGCCCAGCTGATGGGTGTTGGGGTGCCTGGTTCCTCTGCCCATTTCTGCAATACAGGCCTCAGATCAGTGCTCCAGCTCCTTCCTCTGCGTTATGGACCCAGCTCCATGCTAGAGCACGAGGCTCAGTGAGGTGATGCTCCACACCATGCTGCGGTGCTCAGCTCAGCATAAAGGGGCTAGGGTCTGTGCTTTGTGTCATGACATTGGGCCCCAAAACACATGCCTGCTTCCTGATGGGCTCCAGCCCCGGCGGCACAGGGCAGTGATACAGCTGGCCTGTCTCGATCTTGCAGGACTTGGTCTAGAGTAAGAGATTACCTGAAAATATGGGGGTATATTCCAGGCAGACATGAACAAGCTCTGCTGTGCTTCAAACTATCCTAAAACTGTGGCTGTGTTAACGTGGCTTGATGCCAGGTCTTAGCAACCTTCCTGTCCCAGGACCCTGCCTTGTGCTTATCCCTGTCCTAAAGTAGTCGCTTGGCACCTGGTCAGAAAAAGCAAGGTAATATTGCCTGGAATTGGATGGATGAAACTGTCCTGGTGCAAGGTCTGGATGGCTCATGGCACTTGGTGGCCACTGTGGTCTGGGGCACACTGAGCACAAGGCAGTTACTGGTTGAACACCAGTGATGGAGAAGCTCCTTGCAGGAGCAGGGGAAGGCCAAGGCATGGTCCCTCCAGTCTCTGCCACAGCACACCCCAGTCTGGCTCAGGAAGAAAGGGTCTGCAGGGTCTGACTTCCCAAGGCTGTCTGTGGACTGCACCCACTCCTGCACTTGCTTCAGGCCCTGCACTGGCCAGGGACTCCCTGACGACTGCTGGGTGCTGAGATTTGTCATGGATCAGTCAGGACATGGTTGAGCTGCACGGCAGGAAACTAAGTGGAAAAAAGCTTTGGGAGATGATTGACAGTAACTGTCTCCAGTGGAAGGAGCTAATCTGAGCAGCTCAAGAACACCAGGTCGCTAATTAAAGTACACAGGCTAGCCCTGCCTGTAATTAATTTCCCTGTGCTGGTCCACTGGCAGCCAGCTATCGGTGCCACTGACTCACAGCTCCCAGCAGCCTCAGAGGCATTGGCAGTGGGAGAATAAAAGCTGTGGTTCAGATTGGAGCAGGATTTGTCCCTTCCCTTCTGCTCCTCTGGTCTGGGGAGGAGCCGTAGCGTGCCTCCAGCTCTGCACACACCCAGAGGCTGGGACAGGACCTTGCTGCCCGGCCCCGGCAGCTCTGTCTGTCGGAAAGGGCTGGTGGTGCATGCTCAGGGCACAAGCGATCAAGTGATCCAGAGGGTGCAGGAGCATGGCTGGCAGGAGGCGGTGGTACAGGGCAGAGCGGTATTCATATGCATGGCTTGTTCTCTGCCGGCTCCTTCATGTTCTCTCTTTCTCTCTCCATGTATACATATATTTATTATGCACTTGTCTCCCCTGACTGGAGCTGGAACAGGACTGTTGTCATTGTGATTCCTCTCCCATAGGAAAGGTTCTTTGCATTCAGTCTGCTGTGAGTGTGTCACATAGTTATAAGGCATGTGGGATGCATCTGGGTTGTGGTTGGATTTTCCCCGAGTAGGCTGTAGCTCTTGCGATATTGCCAAGGCAGGGAGGAGCAGCTGGGAAGAGCCGTGGAGCCTGCAGCGGTGTCTGCAGTCCAAGCGCTGTTTTGCTGGAGCAGGTGGTGTTGCGTAGCAAGGTGAATCCCATTGCTCCAGTGCCACCCCGGCCCCCATCATGTGAATCACGAAACTGAAGAAAGAGGCTCCAGAAAGTCATATTTCTCTGGCTACAGGTTTTCATTATCAGCTGGAGGGGAATCGTGCTGGTCAGAGGGTTGCCAGCATTGTTTTAATTTCCCAGGAGGCTCCTCTTGGTGTGACATGTCTCTACCAGGGGATTTCAGTTGTCTCGTGTTACTTTGCTCCATACAATGGGACGTGATATGTCAAAACATGACAAGCCAGCCAGAATGTGTCATAGCACTGCGCTCAACACACTGCCTTCCAGGGATGCTCAGCAGCTAATAATATCAGGCTCAAATTATCTCTGCATGCTGAGCTGTTATTTTTTCTCCCGTGTGGATTGTGATATATAGGAGTCTCCCGCCTATATTGGACTGTTGGATCACCACAGATTTATTAGCTGCACACGGTGAATTATTTTGACGAGAGTGAAACTCAGGCCTGGGATCCCAGCCTGTTATTGCAGAAAAGCGACTTTCCTGCCTTGGCTTCTCCAATACCTTTATTATTGCTTCAGTAAACAGTTTGGTGAGATTTCCATATGATTTACTTCTTTATTGTTGGGGTTTGAAGTTGCCACTTCTGTGCAGAGATGGTGTGATTTCATTAGCTCCATGATTGCCTTTCAGGCTTTTCTGTGAGATGCAACTGCCGTCTCCAGGATTTGGCCCCGCGGGAGCCAGCATGCTGCACCGTGCACGTGTGGCTGGAAGCAACGGGGCTCCCTCCAGTCTCCCCAGTTTCCCCCAGTCTGCATCATTGTCTCTTTCTGCCTGACTTTTTGAACTCTGCTGTTTTACCCTAAGGTGTAATGAGGCATCAACATGCCTGAACAATGTTTTCAGTCTTTCAAGGAAGAAAAAACCTCCCACAACAGCGAAGAGGGAAAGCTGCTGTTGTCCCTGGGCTGGGGATCCCCAGCGACGGGGAGGAGCATGTCTTTTTGCCAGAGGTGCTGTGATGAGCTGGGAAGGAGACACACAAGTCCCTGCTCACATGTGGCATTTCACAAATGGAGCCTCCCGCTGCTACAATTGCTGCCCATTCATTTTAGCTCCCGTATGTGGTTTAGAGGAAGCAATCTAATTACTTGCTGCTAATTGCTGGTAAAGCACTGCTGAAAACTGCCTCTCCTCCCCGCCTTCCCCACTGTGGGTAGGAAACAGCAGGTCTCTCTGCGGGCGTCTCAGATGGAGGTTCACGCTGACCCTTCCTCCCAGGTCCCCTTTCAGAAGATGATGCTGGCTGCACAGCCTCTGCCCTTCCCTGCCCATCCTCCGGGCCCTTTCCCACAGCCCAGCTGGGGCTGGTGCATTTGGTGAACCAAAATGCTTCCTTGTGATTCCTGTGCAGCCCAGCTCCTGGGAAAGCGGGTGGTCATCTCCTCCATGAAAAAATGTTCCTCTCAGGGGCTCTTCAACCCCAGTGGGCTGCCTGCGTGCCTGGGACACACGAAACCCACTTCTGCCTTGCAAACTTTGAGGAATCCCTGAATCAAGCATTGCACATGATTTCCTCCGACAACAGTACTGCCCTCTGTGGAAAAACATGCTGTTTTCTCCTCTGCCTCAATGGCTGCACAGATGCAAAGGGAAAAAGGGGAGAGAGGAAGGGAAGCAAGAATATGCGGCGTAAAGGTTTGACCAAAAGAAGGAAAGGATGCTCTTGGCCCCAAGACCTCTACAGGCAGGTCTGACCTGTAAGTTATTTTTGGAATCCCTCACAGTTATTTCTTATAGAAAGACCAGATCAGTCAGAAATTGTTCATGGAAAGTCACAAAAGCCACATCTCCATCTTACATTTTGAGTGCAATCTAGGGACACCTGCTTGTTTTGGAGAGTTGTTCAATGATCCCAAAAAGCAAGGAGCTGGTGGCACTGCTGGAATGGGACGCCAAGTTGTAGTACAACCCATGGCTGCAGGCATCAGCCACAGCTGGGCAGATGCTTTCCCATAGGCTGAACTGTACTAAATGGGCCTGTGACAGAGACAAATGGCCCCCCAGAAGACAGCCCCTTTGCTCAGAAGTAAGCTCTTTGGAACAGGGCTTATGTTAGATGTGCATTCAGGACCCACAATACTGACACACAATCATCACTCCCTTTTTCGCCACCGAAGTGTGAAAGGCTGAAGAGGTGCTCAGACTTTGTCACTAGAAGTGTATATTGATTTTAGCATTTTTAATTCTGCATTTGTTTGGCTCCCTTGGCATATGTTGTTTGTGGTTAGTGGCAACACGCTTAGAAGGGTGATTTTCAGGTTCATCTATTAGTTGCAAAGGAAAGTGCTCTCTTATGACCCTGGCTAATTTGCATACTATTTTTATTATCCTTTAGGAAGCAAACTGCTGATTTTGGTGCTTTGCTTGAACATCCAGTCAGAAGTGGAGTCTTGCCCCGGGGCGTGTGTATGCTACAGTGAACCGAAGATTACAATAAGTTGTCAGCAGCAAGGACTGACAGCAATCCCCACTGAGATACCCATCCAGAGCCAGCGCATCTTCTTGCACAACAACAAGATAACCCTTGTGAGGTCCACCAGCTTCACCTCCTGCCGCAACATGACGATTCTTTGGATCCACTCCAACAACATCAGCCTCATTGAGCCTGGAGCCTTCTATGGGCTCAACAAACTGGAGGAGTTAGATCTCAGTGACAACACGAACCTGAAATCTATCAACCCTGTCACTTTCCGGGGTCTTGTTCACCTCCACACCTTACACCTGGATCGCTGTGGGCTCCTGGAGCTCTCCACAGGGCTTTTTCGAGGGTTGTTCTCCTTGCAATACCTCTACCTTCAGGATAATAATCTTCAGAACCTGCTGGATGACACCTTCATAGATCTCGCAAACCTCACCTACCTGTTTTTGCATGGTAACAAAATCAAGAGCTTGTCAGAGAACGTCTTTCGCGGGCTAATCAACCTGGACCGGCTGCTTCTGCACCAGAACAGGGTCAGTCTGGTTCACCGCCGGTCTTTTCATGACCTTGGGAAAGTGATGACCTTGTATCTGTTTAATAACAACCTGACTGTGCTCACGGGGGAAACCATGGCTCCCCTGGTGTCCCTCCAGTACCTGCGCTTGAATGGCAACCAGTGGATCTGTGACTGCCAGGCTCGGTCTCTCTGGAATTGGTTTAAGCAGTTTAAAGGATCGTCTTCGGAGCTAGAGTGCCACCTTCCCCCCCGCTTGGCAGGGAGAGACCTCAAAAGGCTGCAGAGCGCCGACTTGGAAGGATGCGTTGACTCCTTCAACCAGATACGAACAAGCGTTTTTAGCACGAAGACCAGATCTGGTAAATTGCCAACTGGGGTCCCCCCTCTCGGTTCCCACGATGGCTCCCCAAAGTGCTGCCAGCCAGAAACAGATAAATCTTTTATTTATGAAGCTAAAGGCAAGGCAGGTCCTTCTTCCCACAGCAGCCGGCCATCTTCCAACAACCCTCTCAAGGATAAGGAGAACATGTCCAAAACCAAGTACGTTGAGACGGACCCTTCCAAAAATGGCAGCAACAAGCAGATAAACGATTCCCCCTTTGGGACCTTTCCCAGCATTGTAGACCCTCCATTGACCAAGTTGAAACCAGAATTTCTAGAGCCTATTGAACCTTCCACAATCCCAACCAAAAAGAGGCAGGGCTGCTCTAAAAAGAACAAATCAAAGGCCCAGTGCCGCCTCACCCAGCAAGGAAACAGCTCCACGTTACAGCTCAACCTAAGCCTTTTGATCCCCCCCCTGGTGTGGAGCTTACTGTTATTCTGCTAAAATTAACTCTTTTCCTGGGTTGATGACACTTTAATACTAGACTTTTGCTGACCTCCATAAATGTTGCAAACAAAAGCAAAACTACCATCCATCCTGAGAAAGCTTTGTTACACAAAAGTTAACTGGATGCCTTTATAAAAAAACAAAACAAAACAAAAAAGACAAACACCAAGATGTACATAATTTATTTGTTCTGAATCCTGTGAATTATACCTTTGGTCTTCGGAACTGCACTTGCCCACAAAGCAGCTTTTGCTACAGCAGATGGTAAAGAAATACGGTTTATTTACAGGAAAAAAAAAATGTAAGAAATGCTCTGAAAAGAATGTCTAAAATCTGTTTGTAACTTGACATCATACTGAACAATGTTGCAGGTTCCCATTTGCAGAGGTAATGAATTTGATGCTGTTTTAATCCTATGTTTATGAATATTGCAGTTTTTCCGTATTCATTCCATCACGCCATGTTTACGGGCAGCATTTGTTAAAGAATGCTACCTTTTCCTTCACAAGATTGCAGTATATATAGATATGCATTTTATTTTACTTGTGTACAAGTATACAAAAAAAATATAAAATAAAGATTTCTTTTTCCTAAATGGTTGTAATCTGCAAGGGGTGAAGTATGCTAACCATCTAAAAAGCTGAAAAATTGAAAGGATGTTGAGTAATCCGTGATCTGAAGGCAGGTTGAGCATTTAACGTGACAGTAGTAAATAAGGCATACTCGGCATGGTTATGAAATCTTTAACTGGTGCCAACAACGGGTTTCCTTTGCATGAAACATGCTTTTCTAATGCTCCTGTTTCCCTTCGAACTGTCCCACGCATTCGCCCAACATCAGTCATATTTCAGGATGCTCAGAATAGCAGGAAATATTAGCCCAGCCCCTTGGAGCTGAGGACTCCAGGTTGCAGGTAGAGGAACGTTAGTAAGCAATCCCAAGAAGTCGGGCAGCACCATTTTTCTTCTGATATGCACAGATAACTGGACTCAGCTCTGTGATTAATGAACCAGAAGGTAGTTCCAGAGTGGAGCAGCACTCAGGCTTGGATTTAAGAAAAAGGATGTATCTCCCCAAACACACAGCTCCTGGCCTTGCAGCTCAGCCTGGCTGTGCTGGAGAGCTGGTGTCCATTCCTGGCTGTGCCACCAGTCACAGTGCAAGTGACTTCATCTTCTGTATGACCCCCATCTTTGACTTCGGGATGCTATGAAAATTAAAACATTGATGTCTGGGTGCCCCCATACTACACGTGGGCCATAAAGCACCTGCCTAGATCTAGCTGTGCACTCCTTGTACTCCAGACAACCCCGCTGTACACTCTGCATGTGCTCCAGGTTATGGCAGGGTTGTGCAGAGAGTTAGCAAGGAGGTTGCTTTTCCTTATCAACCTATAGATTTTCTTCTGTGCTCCTCTCTTCAGGAAGACTGTTGTGGTATTGAGGTCTATGCACGCAAGATCAGCCTGTCACATTGCCAAGCCACTCTCCAGGCAGGACTTTGGCCTGCTCAGGACACTGG